TGGTACGGTACGTTTCAATATTGATCCATTTAATCATTATAGTGATGAAGAGATATGGACTGTATTAGAATTAGTGCATCTGAAAGAACGTATTCGTAAGATGGAAGAAGATTTATTATATCAATTAGCAGAAGGTGGTCAAAATATCAGGTAAATTTAAGTACTTTATTTAATAATGTGATTCTAAATTTCATTGTAGTTCTGGTGAAAGACAATTACTATGTTTAGCACGTGCTCTATTGAGAAAGAGTAAAATATTTATACTTGATGAAGCTACTGCTGGTAAGTTAGTTCTTGAAATTAGTTTTTATCTATCAATATATAATATCTACAATTAGCAATTGATATGGAAACTGATCGATTGATTCAACTCACAATTCGATCAGCATTCAAAGATGCAACTGTATTAACTATTGCTCATCGATTGCATACAATTTTAGATAGTACAAAGTATATTATATTCTATTTGATGTTGTAATAATGAATAACAATCTTGATTTCTATAGAATTCTTGTTTTGTCCAATGGTTGTTTAGAAGAATTTGACGAACCAAAATGTTTAGCTGCAAATCCAAACTCAGCATTTGCAAGATTATTGAAAGACGCGAATATTCGACCATCGGATATTACATCTCGATAATTATTTGTTTTTGTTTTTGGAAAAAATCGTATCTATAAGATTTATTTTGTCAGGCTTATAAAAATCAATAATAAATGTTTCCTAATTTGATGAGATATAAGACTTAACACTATGGTATGATGAGAAAACTCAACAAAATATTTTCTTGGAAAGTTATGCTTGTTAATCAATCAAAATAGATGAATAAATAATCTAAATTAGGTATTTTTACACGTGTTAAGTATACGCATGATAAATCTTTTTGATGAAAATTTAAGTGTGCACAATAGAGAAAGATATCTAACTAAAATACTTAGACCATATGATTAGTGGAAAAACGGAAAGATTTCCTTCGATTAGTTTATATCTTTCGTTTAGAAAATTGTCTTGATAAATTAAATAAGGTAAAAAAAACAATAGAACTCTTAATACTTATTTAGCAAAATCGGCCGACGGCCATGTTACAGATTGTAGAAATGTTGTAACCTGCAGTCCACTAATCGTAATGATTAATATTATAT